CAAATCTTCCTTTTGGTACCTCTGCAAGAGACCTACATGATATTATTCTAGCTACTAAAGCTAGAGCTAGTTATATTTCTAGATCCAACAATTATAAGCCTCGTCCTTTTGTTATTTTACACTTTGAAAATGAAGAAGCTCTCAATTATGCAACTCAATAAAACTTTGCTTTTGGTAATAATCAACTAATATGGTGTTCTCCTGATGCTAGAAGCTGTCACAAATGTGGCGATCCAGCTCATCTTGTTATGAAATGCCCTTTTTTACAAAAATCAGTTACACCAAATGACAATGAAGAACCTATTAAACCAAAGACACCTACTCAAAACAATTTAATGCAAAGACTCTACAACAAATACAAACCTGCTGGCTTTAGAAAATTTGTTAATTCTATTCAATCAAACCATTCTTTCAAATCTTATTCTGAGGCCATCAAAAACAAGAATACTACACCACCTTCACCACCAAAAGATGTTATTAAACCAACTGTGAAGGATTTTATTCACAATCCGAATAATGAAATCAATAATAAATTGGATCAGATCCTCTCAATTCTCTCCAATATGAAAAAGGATATGAATGATCTTGACGCTAGAATTGCCAAACTTGAATCTCTTCAGGCTTCTTCTTCAATTATGTCTCCAGAACTGTTGTTAATAAAGGAAAAAATCCATTAATAGTTTCCCATGTTTCTCAACCATCCCCAAAATCACAAGATACGTCTAATAAAAGATCTCACATTGCTAGATCTTCAAGTGATGATTCTTCACCCTCACCAATTTTGACCTCAAAACCTGACCTTACTAATATGGTGAATGAACAAGCTGCTATCATTGCTGAACAGAAAAGACAAATGGACAGAATGTTCAAACAAATCGAACGATTCGCAATGGATGCTAGCCAGTCTCAAATTTAGATATACCTATTTTTTACATTTTTTAAATGATTAATACAACGAATAATACTTTGTTACCTGAAATGTCACCCACAAATTTAATTAACAATAATAATCAGTTTCTTCCTACCAATAATAATGTTCCCCTTCCCCATAATTTACTTTTATCACGTGACCAACTCACCCTTATTATAGACAACGACTTAGAAAATTCACATAGTGATGATAGAAAATTAATTTTAAATAGAAACACCCTCACTTTTGCTACTCATAATGTGCATTCTCTTCATGATGATGTTAAAAACAGCAAGATACTAGATACTTTCCACCAAAAAAATGTTAATTTTGCTACTTTATCAGAAACTTGGCATCAATCTTCTCAATCTTTTAGATGTTCTTCTGATCCATTTTTTGATACTTTATGGAGTTCTGTCATTAACAAGTACTCAGGTGTTGGTTTACTCATCAGCAAGTCTTGATCAAAGCACATTGCTAAAAAATTCTTGAATAATAATCGTTATATTTATGTTGATCTTTATCTTAAAGGAAATATAAAACTAAGATCACATTATCATCATGGGTGACTTCAATGCAGATCTAATCAAGCTACAATGCCTTATTGATTCTGGTAAAACCATTCCTTAGAAGTATGATCTTGTACATGGCCTCGTTCTTAGGAACTTCTTGGACCTATATGACATTTGTCATGATACACCTTTACTCACATTCAAAAGATCGAATACTTCCAGTCGCATTGATGCAATTTTTGCCTTTCAAAACCTTGTTTATGATTTCTTTTATTGTAACATAATTCATTCTTACTTATACAAATCAGATCATGAGATTGTCATTGCCTATTTTTCTAATATTCAACACGAATCTCAATCTCGCTCAAGAATTAATGATACTAAAAGAAAAGTCCCTCTTCTCAGATCTATGGATTCTTCAAAGTGGGCAAGTTTTGCTGATTATTCCAACACTTATTATCACAATCACAATTTTGATCGACTAAAAGATCTCTTATCCAATCATGCAAATATGAATAATCTCTGGATAGAATTGAAAAAGGCTGTTTTAGATATTAGTAAATCTAAAATTCCTCATAAATAGATCTTTACGCAGGACCATGCACCAAAACTAAAAGATCTTTCTCAATACTACCCTTCTCTCACCAAGATCGAAAAGATCCTTTTAAAATTTTGTTCAAAGAGGCTTAGAGAACGACTTTGGCCTATTGGTGAAGAATGGAAACATGATCAAAAAATTGTTGCAAATATCGTCAAAGACATTTCATATCCTCTTGATCTTCTGCCTCAATTTTTAAATTTATCAAATGTTAGAGATGTTAAAAAAAACTCTCAACTGCATCTATAAAGTCTTATATAAACTCACCAAATTAGATGCCAAGAAAAACACTAATGCACAAATTAAATCTCTTATTAGTAAAAGATGCAATCAACTAGAATTTCAACCTGGTAGGATGATTGATTCTATTCTACAAAGGAAAAAGAGAAAAATTACTTTGGATCGAGTCTTTATTAATCATAATGATGGCTCTAAACACTTCACCCTAGATCCTGATGAAATCAGAAAAGTTGCAATCAACCATTTTCAAAATAATGCATTACCATCAACACCCCTAAGATCTCTAAATGGAAGATGGATCTTACAATATCAACCAAAAGATAACTTATCTGAGAATATATATGATAATCTTATGCAACCTCCAACTTATAATGAATGGTTCTCGGTTCTTATACATTTAGCTAAAGATAAAGCTGCTGGACCTTCAGATATCTATAACGAAATGTTTCAACACCTAGGAGATAAGTTCAAATATCTAGTATGGCGATTAATTTGCATGTGCTTCGTCATTGGTGATATTCCTAGTGAATGGAAAATTGCACATGTATATTCTATTCCCAAACTAATGGAATGGGAATGTGACATTACCAAGACCCGTCCAATCACTCTTTTAGAAACGTTAAAAAAAGCATTCGTCAAAGTTGTTACCAATCGACTCTCAAAGATTCTTGCTAAACATCATGTCTTAAAAGACAACAATTTTGCTGATTTACCTAGGGGTTCTACAGAAAAACCGATCAAAATTCTAAACATGTTGTTAGAAGATGCTAATGAAAACAAAAAAGAGCTCCGGATACTGTTGCAAGACCTTTTCAAAGCGTATGATCGCGTTGACTTGAAGCTTCTTTGTCTCACCCTAAAACGTATCAAAATTCCTGCTAAATGTGTAGATCTAATCATCAACCTTTTTACTAATAGGAAAATGCAATTTTTACAGCCGACGGTCTTACTGATTACTATGATATCAAAATTGGCATTGATCAAGGAGATGTCATTTCTCCTTTACTATGGTGCATTTATCTAGATCCTCTTTTATGTAAAGTAGATGCTTTAAAAAAAGGATATGAAATCTCCCATACATAGACTAACAATATTATCAGCAATTTCACAACAACTCTTTCAGAATCTATATCATCTTTGGCCTTTATGGATGATACTAACTGGATTGTCAACTCTCAACAAAATTTAGAAGATATTCTGACGATTTTTATGATTTAACTAGGGCTGCTTTGAATAAATCCAAATCAAAGCTTATCACAACAAAATCCTTTGCATCCCCAACCATCAACATCAACTTTGGTTCTTCCACAGTCAATATAATTCCTGAATTAAATTCTGTGAGGTTTCTAGGAATTTGGATAAATCGTTCGAATTCTCAAACTTTTGTCAAATCTCAAGTCTCAAAAGATATCAATAATTTTGCTGCTGTCATGAAACCCAAACCTCTCACCGATAAACAAACAGCATATATTGTTAATGCAGTTCTCTGTCCACTCCTAGAATATCGACTGCAATGTACACCTCTTTCTCAAAAAGAATGCAATGTTTACTTTGGCTCTATTAGATCTCTTTTTAAAAGAAAGTCTGATTTTGCTATTACAATTCCTACTACCGTTTTAAATAGTAACAAATATTACAACCTTCATGATCTTTGGTCCCTTCAAATCAAATTCTTCACAACTGCTCTTCTCAACCAATTCAATTCAACAGATCTGTATTTTAAAGTATCTTCAATTTGTCTCTTCCAACTTCAATCACTTAACTTCCTTCCATCATCTCCACTTCACTTTTGGAATCATCCTTACAACCGTTCTTCTCATAAAAATCTAATTGGTGCTCAACTTAGCATCACTAACAC